GAAAAGCTTGGGAGCTGATTTGGCTATTGACTATACCAAGGAGAACTTTGAAGACCTAGCAGAAAAATTCGATGTCGTTTATGATGCTGTCGGTAAGACAATATCCCAATTGCTGCTAAATTTGAAACCATCTTAATACTGTTAGCTTCATTTAGTGTTGACATTATGGGACTAAACATGTCTCCTCCTAATTCAATGGATGATCCTTATTACCATACCCCGAGCTATTGGACAATAACTCATTTCGCACCAAAACTTAAAGAGACTTATTAACATCTAAGTGGATATGTTAGGAGCAAGTGGAGATTAATAAAATAAAATTAGTACATCTTTGTCCTAAAAATGAATCGTTGTGGTAGGTTAGCATGTTGTACGGCGTTCTTTTCGGATATCTTAAGTACCTAAGGTCCCTACTTGAGATGATGACGTCTGAGGTAAATATGCCTGTCCGTTACTGTGGCAATGTCAAGATTGTTGCTTTCTTGTGTGAATGGGTTATTTGGGGAAGCTCATATAAAAAATTTTGATTCTTTTCTTCTGTTGAAAAATGAATGCGGTATATATTATGGGTCAGTAAGGATGTGGTAGAGAAAAGCTTTGGTAGGATAGTCTTATGTGCGCACGTAATAGGACCGTCCATTCAAATCACGTCACATCAGACCTCGAGCAACTCAAATCGCAACATCTCCGTGTACAAGATGATAAGATAGAAACACAGTCGATGCAAATGCTGAGTTGTCGTGATTTGAATGGGCGGTCCTACCACATGTACTTATAGGACTGTCCTACTGAAGTTTTGTATGTAATAGAGTCATGAAAAATGATTCATATAACATACCTCAAAATTTGTCAAGAATAATGCTTAGTTTTTTGTTGTTTGGAATTGGGGTTGCTTGCGAAGAGTTCACGTATTGATGATTAATGATGGTGTCATTTTTCTTTGAAAAACTACAGGGCAGGGAGATAGGGCAGTGAAAGCAGTGAAGGAAGATGGCTGTGTAGTATACATATGGGGTGCAGCAACACCACCTGGTTTTTCATTTTTGGTTACTTCAAATGGAGAAATGCTGAAGAAGCTAAATCCATTTCTGGAGAGTGGGAAGGTGAAGCCGGTGCTCGACCCCAAGGGGTTATTCCCTTTCGACAAGGTTAATGAAGCATTTGCTTATCTAGAAACAAACCGAGCCACCGGAAAGGTGGTTATATATCCAATTAATCTGTGATCAGCAACTAGGAATACCTAGCTTATTCTGTCTACAGATATATA